CCCCAAAACCCCAAAACCCCAAAACCCCTAAGATTTATAATTGGTAATTAAAAAAAATTTATTTATTCAAATAGCGTAACTATTATTAAGAGACATTTCATTACTTTTCATGATTTTTCCCCTGACTCTCTAACTCTAACCAATATCTAATCTCCCTTTGCTGATATATGGATTTTGATTAACTATTGGTATGGGATTTGTAATTGGATTGTAGCTTGCTTTGGGATTAAATAAGTTCAACTGCATTTAAGCAGCATCTTATAATGACGAATTGATAGAGCCCATTTTCCCTTTTAAGTTTGTAGTTTAATTCAGATTCTTCTAAGAATGAATATTTGAATAGTCAAGTGATTAATTCATTGATTGGTTTATAGAGTCATCTTTGTATAGTAGACTTTTGTATTTTTGAGAATCCTCAATTTAGCTATACAATATTTAACACGAAAATCTAAATTTACTTTAAATGTTTTGGTAGAACTCTTGACATCATCAATTACTACTAGTCATCAAGCAGCAATTATTATCCACCATCTCTTGGACTCTTTCTAGCATCCGCAAGATATTTACTAACTGAAATTTATCCTGGTATAATACCCACATCGAAATTATTTCCCTAATCTTAGTTACCTCTGCCTGATTATAAGCCTTCCAGATTGCTAGATCTACCAGTTGGCTAGTTATTTTTAATCACCATCTGATCTAAAATTTATCTGTAGCCCTTTTGTTAGTCAAGTTTTTACTGCTGTTATTAGATGACATACTATTTGTAGTCATTTTCTTATTTAAATCTATCCTCCATATTTTTCATATACTTTTCTCTCTCCATCATTTTCTATTGATTTTTCTCTTAGATTTGATACTCTAGGGTTCTTTATCTGTCCTCACTCATAGCCATTCTCATACGTTTCATGTCATTTTCTCTTTATTCTTACTATTTTTTATAATCTTCTTCTCTTTAATTGATAGTTTGATTTATTAAAAAGTCCTTATGCATATTTTGATTCATTACCATTTCTTGGAACTGTTATTGTCTGTTCTTCATAACTTCATCCTTTTTTACAAATTTTTATCTATACTATTCTTCATTATTGAGTTCTCTCTAAGCATTCATATGTAAAAGCATCAATTCTTCTTAAGTGAAATCTTGTCCTAATTTCCTCTCTATATTACTATTGTCTCCCTTCATATTTAGCTAAGCATCTAATTGCTTCCTATAATTATCTAGTTTTTGCTTTTTAACAATTTTTTCTAGTTCTAGAGACCTATGTGCTTCTTATATTCTTCTTTATTCATCAATCATCTCTAATTATCTCTATAAATTTTGTTATTTTCGAATTTCTTACTATCTCTTATTACTTTGCTTTTTAATTTGTAATTGAAGTTCCGTATTCATCTGCCAGTTACTACTTTTGACGTTTGTTATCTTCCAATGCCCAATTTTTTATTTTATAATTTTACTATTCTAATGATTCCTTTTACTGAAGTTCATAAGTAGCTCTTGCCACTTCTTCCTCTCTTTTTTATTATAGTTTCTACTATTCAGCAGTCTTTAATTCATCTCTAAAAAAGCAAATTATAGGAATAGTGTTAAAAGTATTGATGTTGAAATGCTTAAATTAGCATAATATCTAATGATTCTTACGCATAAGCTTTCTTGACTTAGGTTTGATATATCTTAGAATCTTCTTTCATCTTATCAAATACTTATATCTAGCTCTTAATTACGTTAGACCAATCCTTTTGAACTAAATCAATCGTAAATTTAATACATAGTATTAAGATAAAAATAATACCTGGATCATTTAAAAGTCTTTGTTTCATTATGGGACTAATGTTTTACTCTTCGGTCTTGTGAAGATTGTCGATTGAATTCAATCGTCCAAGTCTATTTCCAGACTGCAAGTATCTATTTGATTACATATTATCTCCCTAGAAAGAATATGAAATTGATCATAATTGTACAAATATTGACATTGATTTAATTTTATGCGAATTAATATTTATCTCATCGAATATTTTTTTAATAATTATATTGAGGGGTTTTGGGGTTTTGGGG